ATGATATGTAAATTAAAAATTGTTATTTTACGGTGATAATCTTGTTTTCTTGTGCCCAATAATGCATAGTTTCATTTGATAAACACGTTTAGATTGAATGGTAATTTATAATCAGTCACAAGAACGTCGAATCTGAATCACTTGAAAAAAACACGGGGGTGCTTAACTCTTTTCCAGGTGTATATATTAAAAGTTGGCGTGGATGACGAAAGTTTGGGAAACGCTTCTGTAAGCTGTTCTTTTGGTAGTATTTTCGGACTGATAACAAATGTCTCTATAATTTGATGTAAACTATTGAGTTATCAATGTTTTTGAAGTTAAAAAATGACCTTAATGCGTCAGTTAGTCTTTTCCTTGAAAACAGTACACCGGGTTAAAGTTCATTATCTAAGTAGTACGTAAGCTTTTATAATCAGAAAAGCATATCCATAGCATTATAGGTCTTTCCCAACAGTTAGCGTGCTGAGCATGGTTAGCGTGTCGGGCTGCGAATCGAAGGGTCTGGAGTTCAAGACATGTCGCTTCTGAACGTGATTTCTACATTCTGTTGAGGGCGCGTTATAAAAACATCTCAATCACGCTATTCAGTTCAAAGAGCTGGACAAACATTTATAGCAGCGGGTGCTGCTTTCTGGCTGCTTTCCCTCTAGTAAGTAATCCAGAATTAGAGACATCTATACCTGAACCCTACATTTGTTTACGTGTGCATAAGGTGCCGTTCAGGTTGGAAATTACTTTTTTTAATCCTATAGCAGATAGTAATGTCCAGTTTGATTTCATACACTTTTCCATTAAAGTACGTTTCTTAAAACCTTGTTTATAGTAAGATTTTTAGATTAACAGACGAGTCAAATGAGAAATATGAAAACAAAACTGTACACTTTCAAAGAGAAAGTGAAGAATGATCCAAGAATACAACAATTTAGAGCAGTTAGAAATATATATATATAAATATCTGGATACTTATAAACTATTTCAAGACAAGATAATCAAAACTAAGGAGTTTTTTACATTTCTTACTTTTTTGTCAATATGTTTATAATGTTTGTAGTAAAAGCCTGGAACGTACTTTTTTTACTGAAGGAAACTAGCCGGTGTACTCGTTTAACGCACAGGGGAAGAAATAGGCGCCTTCGGGGTAGATAGGAGTAAGATGCGAACGCCGACCTATTTATGTCACTCCCCGAGAAGCCTTAAGGGCACACGTCAGGATTAGCGATAGTCGGTCCAGTAGTTTGTCAGTTATAAGCAGAAACACACACACACACAGAAGAGAGAGTCTTATTTACGATCGCTCATGGACCTCATCCAAAATCTCTTTCGTGATTACGGTGACGACACACACACACAGATTTGTCAAATAATGGTGTAGACGGGGTAGCGAGTGAGCTGTAGTTCTCCCATGGATATAGGACGACTTGAAACTGGCAAGAACCGCGGCGCCGAGAAACATTAGCTCCGCAAGGCTGCTACAAAGAGCCGTCATGACAACAACCTAACCTCTTGGAGACTAGCAGACTGATGTCACTATCACGGTCGGCTGTCTGACAGTCTCCAGACAGAATGTAACCAAGTGTAGAACAATGGTATTCTAGAGTTTGGATGGGAAAATACAAGCTTTCAGTGTGTACTCTCCAGCGCCAGGGTGAGCATATATATGAATATATACTAATTATATGTATATAGCTTGAATATTATACTCTCTGTAGTAGAGATATCTTGTAAGAGAACGGAAGTATTAATATCACACTTATCTTTACATAACCTTAATACTATACCTTAGTTATCAAAGGACTCATGTAGCTCAACGGAAGTCCTAACATATATAACATTTATATCAACATAACTTGAATACTATACTTTCGTTACTAGGGTCTGAACGATTTAATTATTTTATTTCCGTTTCCCCTACTTGCTTATTATTTTAGCTATTAGGTAACACGTTGATGATTTTTGTTAACCAGTTTTACCCTTTAACCATTAGGGGCTCTATACAACCCTTCCCGAACATAAGCATTGCTTATCCTATTTATGTAGTTATATACTTCGCCACTAGGGGTCTTATACAGAAATTTTCAATAATGCCTATTACGATCCTAGTTAACTTGTTTTAACCAAGAGTACTGCTTAATACTTCGAACAACTTTTTTTAGGATTCCTGTATAGCTAATTGGCTTCAATAGTGTTTGATGTTGATATTTCACATCTTCAACACTAGGGTTTTTAGGTGTTACATTTCCTATTGCAAAACAAATCCGCCTCATTTGTGCAAATAGGGAAACGTTTTTCCGCATAATTTCATTGTCATGTAGAGAAGCTCGATGTACAGGGGTGACTGGTTAATGTGACTGATAGACAGTTAAATACACATTACTTGTATTTCCTACACATTACTCAATATTTTATTAGCACGTTTTCATATAAATCAGTTTTAGCAGTAATCTACTTTTCTTTTTAAAGTGTAGATTGAGGGCTTATTTAGTTAATTGATCAAACATCAAAATTTATCTGTTATCGGCATCGGGTTTTAGATCATATAGATCTGGGAGGGTCAAGTTCTTTTTGACCTCTTCCTCCCCCAGCACTTGGTGGGTGATTCCTGTATAATATGGATGTAATTACTACAAGAGGGTCACAACTTGGCTTATCCACGCTTTCATGTACATGTAGGTAGTTATAGTAATATCTGATGTGTTTAGTACACTTTCACTTTATACGTTTGTGCAAAGTTCAACACTTCACAAACAGTTCAAGTTGCATTTTTCATTAATTCTAAGTTTCAACGAGAACATTCACACATATAAACCCTTTTTAATGCTTTCACGGTAAAATAAAATTGATGATAATTTAGTTGTCTAGCATCGAGTGGCCTTAATTTCTTTTTATTTTTTATATAAATGTTAATAGAGGAAAGATATTTAGTACTATCTTCATCATGTAAGCAGAAACGATCGAGTTTGCGTAGCTGGTCATTCTTTTGCCAATTTTTTGCGAAATACTTTAGCGAACTGTGTAGAAGTCTACCGATTAACGTTTCTATTTTGGCATAATTGTGCATGAATGTGGAGGATGTTGATCTAGGTACTACGTAGTGTGTTCTGTAGTGTTTGTAATTTCGTTTTGATTTGTTTTGGTGTTATATTTATCCATGCAGGTGATGATACATATTCTATTACTGATCATATGTATGTTTTGTAATTTTCTATAATGTTTTCTGCTGCTTCTCCACAATGTTTACCTGTTAGCATAATTCGTGCGTTGCCAAACTTTGGTGTATATATTGTTTAGATGTTTACTCCATGTTAATTTGGAGTCGTACATCAGACTTAGGAATTTTGCTGATGTCACAGTCTCAAGAAGTGCTCCATTCATGTAGAGTTCTAGTGGGTCCATTTTGTGTTTTGCAAAAACTACTAATGGATTCTTTGGGACATTAATTTTAATGTGGTATTTTTGGCAGTATTCTATTTAATTGAGGTTGGATTAGGGCTAACTACCCCTCCCTGTGGGACACCTGCCTCGGGAGTAAATGACTCCGAGAAGTTTCCTCAACACCGATTCTACATTTTCTGTCTTACAGAAAGTTGGATAGCCAGCGAATAATACCACGTGGTAGTTCCATTTCTGACACGCGGAACCTCCGACTGTTGGATATACAAGACTGTTTTAGTTTATTTTGTGACTTAATATTTAATGATTATTCAGTTTTCATGACAGGAATGTTGAAGGTTGATAGTTTTAAAAGCGTTAGTTGTGACAAATTTCGTTACGTAACTCTGTACGTGTCGTATGTTGTGTTTGTGATTACATTGTTTTCTAGGATTTGCTAATTGTCAGGGTTTTAAATATGTGAGTGGGCTGGGATTCTTCTACAGTAGGTGTCTGTAACTTGTTGGTGATAAATTCGAATAATAAACGGAAAGCACGCAATTAACTTTTCTGGTCCTAAAGGGTGTCCTAAAGTAATTGAACCCGTCTGTGTGGACTTTGACGAAAAGAAGACAATTATTTAAATTCAGAACACAATTGTGGTAACCCACGGGGTAACGTAAGTGAATTATTCACTGATACTATTGTGATAAAAGTAGATACAAATATTTCGCCTTGTCAATTGGATTATAAAATAATTGAATCAACCTAAGTGGACTTTTGACAAGAAAAGAGAATTATTTAGAGTTTGAGATACAAGTGTGATACCTTATAGTGTAAAGAATTTTTGTAAATACGTTTGACTTGTTTTGAATATATTATTTTAAAACAAATGGATTGTGTGCTGTCTGTTTATTGTTCAGATTTTATCGCCAACAAATCACAGACACCTACTGTAGAAAAATCATCAGCCCACTCATATTTAAAACCCTGACACAGACCATTACGCCATTCAGTGTCAAATGCTTTTTAGATATGGAGAAAACATGCGACAGTACATTCTTCTTTGTTAAAACTGTCTATACTGAATTCCTTTAATCCAACTACGTGGTCGATAGTTTGTCTAAATTTTCCGAATCTATTCTATACTTCAAGTAATTTTGATGTTATCTACATAAATTTGGAGCGTCTGTTACTGATTATACGTTCTAGAATTATGATGCTGGTCAGGCTTACTGTACGGTAGTTATTCGGTTTATTGACTGGCTTCCCATCTTTATGGAACTTTAAGACATTCGCTTGCTTTCAAGAAACTGGGATGCATCCTGAGTTGACTGATAAGTGAAAGAGGACCGTGAGGTGTTCAAACAATTTCCGAGAACCGTTTTTTAAGAAGGATTAAGATTTATTTTACAGTTTGTTTTATATGTTTGAATTTCGCGCAAAGCTACTCGAGCGACATCTGCGCTAGGTGTCCAGAATTTTAAGCACCACCCACCGCCAACTTGTGGACTACTTTAACTGAATAGTGGAATTTGACCACTTATAATGCACCAACGGCCCCGTGATTGTTTTGGGAGGGGGAGTAACAGGGAGCTAACCACTTGGCCAATATTTTACAGAGATTTGAGTAATTGTAAAATTCGACACATTTTACATATTAGCTAAAACATATAAGCCCAAAAATAATCGTTTTAGGTTATCTCGATAAAACGGCGAAGAAATGGTGGTACACAACTTGTTAATGATCAAGTAGGGATTTAAAGAAAGAAACGTGCATGTAGTATTTCAACTACATCCTTCTCATTTCAAGAGATTATGCTATTGTCTTGAACACAACCCTTGATGTAGAGATTCGCGTTAGCATTTTATTTCGTTTAGAAAAATCCGAATATGAGCGTTGGATTTTTGAATTTCTGGTGAAAATGTATAACACAATCTATTGGATATTATTTCTTGCTCGTTCGTTTCTGGATGTCCGTGTAAAGTTACTCAAATTATATCCGCACTAACCATCCCTGATTTTAATTTGATAGCCTAGAGAAAAGGCCGTCACCGTCAACTCTTGGGCTACTCATCTGACCGAATAATGGAATTTGATCCACATTCTTGTAGCGCAACAACAGCCTCAAAGTGTAAAGCGCAATTTTATTGTTTAGGTAGTAACGGGACGCGAACCACGGACCCACAGATCGGTACACTAACCACTGGGCCACTCTCTGGGTGACTTTGGGTAAAATTCAAATAGTTCTAGGAAATAAATCAAGTCAACAATTTCCCCTTTTTTTATGGTTTTGTGCAAAAATGATAATCTGTTTCGACTAAGAAACTTGTCACAAACAATGGCTTCAAAGCGTTACTACAACGAACGGAGATGTTTCCATAATGTTATGACAAGATTGCTAGAGACATTGAAGTACGGAGTCAAAATCTATTGTCCACATTGAGTCGTGATATTGAAAGGGATTTCAAGTATGAACACATCTATCTCTTGAAAATGTAAGGTAGTTTAATTTTAGTAATTTATTATGCACAATAACATCTTTTAGCATTGGCGCTGTTTCATATAATCGATATCTTCGTCGCATATAGTTCTATCTATCTCTAACTTTGTAAGTTTCTATTATGTGAGCGTTCTATATATTTGTGTTCGTATGTACTTAGCGGATACGTTCAACACGTCGTATTATAATATATACAACAAACTGAATAACGCTTTGTTTACACTAGCCTAGCTTATTATTAGTGTCTCAGTAATTTCAATTTATAATGTTAATTACCAGATATATAGTCAAGCAATGTTTACTGAGATTATAGAATATAGAAAACTCTGTATGTTATTACCTGCTGGCCACTTCTAAGTCATTTCGTTTCTGAAGCTTCTTTTAACGCTTTCATAAAATGCCAAGAACTTGTGATTTTTTATTAGAAGCTGGAAGAAAGTGGAGCTGATGGAATTTGTGTTCTTAGTTGCCTGTCTTGTTGGCTCCTCCAGTGGCATAGCACTAAGTCTGCGGACTATGATGCTAGACACTGGGTTTCGATACCCGTAGTGGGCACAGCACATATTGTTTTATTTGTTTCAATTTATCTAATAAGAATTACTTCAACCAAGCGAAAGAGTCTTACTGATTCAGAGTTTTGTCTTT